TACTGGGGGCGTGCGCAACCCCTACCTGCGTATCTCTCCATCTAGATATGCCACTGCATGTTACAAGCCATCATGATTCCTCAATTGAATCATAATTTCTTGTATAACTTTTTTTTTGAGTTAGGTTTATACTATCTTGTATTACTATAAACAGTATTTATAGAATTAATGTACATAATAATCTGATTTATAAATTACAAGATGAACAAATGAAATAAATAAATAGAAGTGGCATTTTGTTGTGCTTTGCTTGTTAGTGCTTATAACCATGGCAAAAGAAATGTGTATAAATTGTAGTTTATTTCTGGATTTCTATATAAAATATATCAGTTTTTATTTACTCAAGGATTAAGAAAATTGTATAAAATATCTGTTTATGAAATAAACTATTGTTACTGTATTTATATAGTACTGTATTAGTAGTGGAAATTCTATAGCACTATGCACTAACAAATGTTACCCTGATTGTTTGGTAAATCTTTTTTAGGACATATTATACTTTTCCTCAGTGGGAAAGTGTAAAAGGCAGCGAAAGGGGCATTCAACTAAGGGTGAATAACTGGAACGCCAGAGCTTTGATCCTCATCAGTAAAGTGACACTCAGGGGTGTCCTGACCCCCTTTACTTATGAGGGACCCCCTTGGGCAAAAAAAAATTATATGTATGCAACTTTTTTTGTTATGTATGTACACATACATAATAGGCCTATTTACTGATCGATTTATTGAATAATTTTCAAGAGGGGGAAAACCTAAAATTTTTATAAATTAAATGTCATTAAAAGACACCTCAGAAATCGGAAAAGCTCATTTCTCACCATCTAGGAGTCTTGAAATGAGGAAGGCGATGGGAGAGTACAAAAGTGAAGGGAATGACAAGAATCCAATTTCTTTACAGTACTTTATGGTTTATTCAAGTATGGTAAAACCAAGGCCAGCTAAAACAAGCTTGATATGCAGTATTGCACAGGTTCAACAATAATCAAACCAATTGTCTCCAAAGAAAGGTCTGCAATCTATCATTATTTCATACTTCAAATTTTATTCATTCTTCCTCAAATATGTTTAAACAATACCAATACACCTCTCAACTTTGAATACACTAAATGGAAATACATAGGAGTATTGTGAGAAAATATTAGCTTATCGGGGTCTAGGAGGTGAACGCCCCTGGTGGGGGTCCCAGGAGGCTTTGCTCCCTCGTGCTAACCTCGCGCTCAGAGCTTATGGCTCTGTTGACTGTATTGTGAATGGTCCATGACTGATGAAATATTTCAGACAATTTTATGACAAAATCAAAATAGATTACTTAGGCCAACTTTTGGAACTGGTATAGGCCTAACAGAAGGCTTATGTACTCGATGTAGGTGTAAAAAAGTACAGAATATTTTAGTGAGAAACAAAACATGTTTAATAACATCTATACAAGGAACTATGGTTTATTTTTTAAAAACTACAATATCAGGATCCCTCGTTCCCCGTGAGCACCTAAGCGTGATGCCACTTCCCATATACCACTGAAATAACAATGTTCTTAATTCTTCAATTATATGAAATTCCTGATTAAACATTAAAATGTATTTATGTCCAACAATTTTGACATGCAGGACTCAATAAAATAATTGTGTATAATACCTGTACACTACATTAAAAATATGATGATTATACAGATGCATACCGTACCTCACTCATACTCACAAAAATTAAAAGATGGATTAATTTATACAAAAATAATAAAGCTCAAAAATTTAAATAAGTTAAAACAAATAATTTTTTGAAAGTAAACCAAATATCATGATTTGTGTTGACTTGTGCAAGCTTTAACCTGGGCAAACTTCACCAATGATTATCGTCCGAGAAGATCCCACGGAGAATGCAACGCGAAAGGCAGGCAACAGTCATTTTTAATGATAACCTGCTCTTTCTGTCATTGACAATAAGCAGACAGTAGACTGGAGGTGGATTCATCAGTCAACGGTCCTACAACACAGTGTAAGTCAGGCTTTCTAAACAAAGACACAACTAAAAAACTAGTTCATACTCTTGTAACTTTAAAAAACTGGACTATTGCAATGGTATCCCATATGAACTTCCAGACACGCTTAAAAAACATCATCCTTAACTTGGCCAAACATGAAATTATTCTCGCCCTAAAGTCACACAGACCTCCAGTTGGTGGTGACAGTGTAGCCCCATACTTCAGTTTGGATGCTACAGTAGCTTGGTTTACTTTTGTTTTTGTCTTGCTTATTGATTTATCCTCTTTTTTGTTGTCTTCTTACCTTATGTCGAGCACATAGAGACCTCCTTTATTTATGCTATATAAATCCATCTATCATTATTATTTAATAATGTTTGCATAGTGATTGGTATCACATTGATAAATTTATTGTTTCAAAAAAATATTTGTCTCATTCTTCTTCATGTTTGAATCATCTGCTTCATTGCATCGTATATGTAGCGTTTGAAGTGAAGTGTGATTTTTATTGGCTGGTGGTCTGCGGGTGAAGCGCCCTCTTCTGATTCTGTTGATCAAAAACAAAATCATAAAATGAAGTATGGTGACAATATACCTAAAAAAATACATAGTACACAATGACTTGTGTGTAAAGGATCATTTTATATAACAATCTGCCACCGAGAATCATCCAAAGCTCAGAAATTGGGGATGGATTCGTTGGCACATGCAGCGACATCCAGTAAAAGAGGTATATTTTAGGTCGGCAGTGCAAATGTTAAAATGTTAGTGTTAAATGTTAAGGTTTTTTGGTGTAGAAATGGTAGGTATTGATGTTTTAATAAAGGAAGGTGAAAATTATCTAAGTAAATGGGGGTAAAAGGGTAAAGGTAGGAGAATAACCCATAACTTACAGCGTCATTGTGCTGAATTGCATATGGACATGGTCCGTGACTACCTAGCAGCCGTAAATAGGCGCTTCATGGTAGATAATAATAATAATAATAATAATAATTGTCAATTTATATAGCGCATAATGTAAAATACCTCTATACGCTTTACAGCATGGAGTGGGATAAATTATTAAAAGTTTCAGCTAAAAAATAATGAATAACAATATGAATAACAACTAATATAAATATACTATTACTATGTTAATAAATAGATAATTACATAATAAATAATTACATATTACAGATACATGTTCATATCATTCCACAACGACAGGGGCTGAAATGAACCATAACATCGGGGTAACCCCCTACTCTTCCGAAAGATACAATGGGTTCTTTAAAGTGCACACGAGCCAGATGTATACACTGGACCTCCATACTCCTTATCCGAGAAGACTTGGTTCTACCAACCGTTAAGGCTGTAGATAACGGCGCCCCTGCCTTACCACTCGGCCACTCGACTTGCCCTAAGTATTAGTATTACCTTGTTTTTTCTTTCCTTTCTTCTTTGATGATGCTGATAATTGCTTTGATGTCTCAGTACTTAGTCCATCTGAACACAACACAATAAATATTTATAAACTTATTCAATATTGCATAGAAACAATCATTATAATCATAATTGAGATTTTCTTTTTAATTTAACTTTCAATTTATTACTTTGTATATGCATGTTTATACCTGGACCACAACTTTGCATTGAGCATGCCCCCCAGTATAGAGAAAGTTAAATAAATATTATTCAAAAATAATTCCTAGCTCACAGCTGTAAACCAATGTGGCAAGACACATAAAAAAAAAACCTCTAACCACTATACTACTAACCATTAGACAAATCAAAGTTATATATTTTTCTACCATGATAAATCTTGAATTTAAATGTGTTCTTATACAAATTTATGGAAAATAAATTTCATACATAAAAAGCATAAATCTACACATTACAATTATTCACTCACTTGGTATCCTAACTTTGAACTTTCCACTTTGACCAAAACCTCCATCAATGATTCCTTGCTCGCCTGTAGACAGATCAACCTTCAGGCCAATAAACAACTGGATGTTCGTTTCCTTCTTAAACAGTGAGCGACCAATGACACTGTATTCATCGGCCATCTGTGAAAATGTATCACAAGAGAAAATTAATTTTATAAAGCAAACATTGTGATATATTTTCTTGTTAATCTGTAAATCACATATGAGGTCTTTAACAGTAAATATACAAGACAGGGCCAAGGTGCACCAATGATACCTCTTGGGTCTTTTTTTAAATTTTGAAAAATTAATGTAATGATTCTTACCCTTTCCACAACACCTTCCCTGAATTTTGTCTTGTAGATTTTAAGTTGAGGTAAAACGGTTTCTAAGTAGTTCTGAAAAACATATCAATATATATCAATTAACAAGGAAAGAAAACCATGAACATAGCTTTGAAAATTTAATCATATCAAATAATCTCTGAGTTCAAAGTTTTTCTTTGTAATTTTTTACAGTTCCACCAGGTGTGGCACCAGCGGGTGGGCTGATGGAGTTAGGGAGGTGTGGACCAGCCTTTGGGAACCATGGTAACTTAAATGAAACATGGTGGGGCTAAGGTGGGTGTGGACCCTGGCCTATCTGTTGGGGAACGATTTACTATCTGTCAGGGATAAGCATTGTGTTCTTTATAAAATCACGTCAACCGACAACCATCAGGCAAAGTGAGTGGCCGCCTTAACAACAATGCAAGACTTGAATTATTTAAATACCTTTTCTGTCATGTGATACACTAATTTACCATGGAATGCTAAACGACAAACATTAGAATGTGAAGAGTATAGTTAAGAAAAAAAATTGAAACACAAAACATATTAGACACTATTATTAAAAGTAAAGACAAAACGACCAAGAAATACGCTCTCTAACTTGTCAAGTTTTGACCTTAGAAAATGAAAATAGTGGTAAGTTGAAATTGCAACACTGGTCACAGATTAGGCCTAGCAATAACGAATACACCACTATCTTTTATATAATTGCCAATCCCTTCCACTTTATTAAACTCTGTAAAGTAATTTTATTTCTTCTGATATATGTGACTCACCGCCAGGGGAAGCGCCAGGAATTCCCATGACGAGAGGTCCAGCTCCCCAACAAGGGCCCACTCCCTTGGTCGGGAAGTCTAGCACCCCCCTCCCATGGTCGAGGAAAATTGTGTTGATTATGGTATTTTTCATTTAAAAAGTATAATTTGATAGAAAACCATGCAAAGTAAGATGCCCCCTGTTGGGGGTACTAACCACCTGTCGGAGGTACTGGTCCCATGTCAGGGAAGATCTGGCGCTGCCACCGCAATCCATACAATCGCGATAGTATACACCTCATACATATGTTAGCACTGCTTGCACTAAACAGTTTTTAATTACTAAAATTTGACAGCTTAGTCAGGCATACCTAAATTGCACTTTCGGTAGTCAAAATTTCATTTTTCCCCGACGACCTTGCTGAAATTCCCAAAAGGGACGTCCAAACGAGGGTCCAGAGGTTCCCGACGGGGTCTTTTGCCCCCTGGACCCCCGCTAGCGCCTCACCGCTCACCATACATTATAGAAGTGATTCTGTATATGAAGTCTCATGATGTGGAGTTTAGAGAATGGAGTTATATTTCTTAGCTGTGAGACATACTTTTGGTGTTTTAAATAAAACTGATGATCAGCCTCATGCTTGATGGCACAGCCTTTTGATTAAAGGACCAGAGCACTACCATTGCCCAAATTTACTGTGTATTCAGCGCCAGATCATCTTAAGGTGTTTTAAGCAAAAACCAGACAGGCACCAAACCAGTACATTTAAATTCCAACACAGAAATTAGGATAAGATGTTTCAAAGTAGTATTGTTATTTTATACTCTTTAGAATCTGTATATGAAGAAAAACCAAGTAGTACAAAATGAAAGTAATTTGAAAGGATATGAATATCAGTATCAAGCTTTGAACCAATCACAAGACATGCTTCTGGACATGTGACTGGTTTCTCAAATTCTAACAATGCCCACTGGTGCTTGGCTGAAGATATGTGAGTGGATTCGCCTGCAATTTCAGTCTCTTTAGCAATACTTGATGGTAATGGCTTCAGTAGCTCATCTTGATATATAAATTCTTTTGAGAAACTAAATTCTGAAAATGATAATGAGAATTGAATTAAATCATCTTAAATCACAAGTAATAAATATAAGCAAAACACAGGGGTCCCAAATTGGAAGAAGTCATTTCCAGGAAATCTTGGGTGGTGGGTCAAAGGGTGGGAAGGCAGGGGGGGGGGGGAAGAGGGACTTTTACAGATGGAGGATCTAGACCACCTCAGCCCCACCATGGTTTGCATTGAGGTAAGAAAAGTTATGATTATGGCTCCTATCCGACTTGAATTTAATTTTCTTTTCTACCCCACATTTTTTTTATAATAGTAAAATATATATTTAGTGGGCCCCGGACTGGCTGCCCCCCTCCCCCTTGAATCCGCCACTGATCTGGTTAATAAGTTTTGATAACACATTTAATTTTACTGACTAATCAGCACTGACTTCTGAGGGAAAATTGATGATAAACCAGTGAAAATGTGCAAAATTATGAATTTGATGAGATGGGTTAATTTCCATAAGATTTTTGCTTGCTTGCAGGAGCGCGAGAGACCGTCAAAATTTCTGCGAGACTCCCACGAGTTCTGCATAAGTGACCAAAAAATTAAAATTAACTTTTTAATTTATTCTTATTCTCCACATTGTAAAATGATGGGCCATTTACTGGAATCAATATACTAATGCCAAAGTTATGAGTAAAAGTATTAAGGCTTAATTCTTGGTACTAAAGTATAAAATACTGTCACATTCTTAGGCTAATTACTCAGTTTAACATGTAGTGACAGTACACTGGTTTTGGCCGGCTGGCCCGGAGTATGGAGGGAGTAGTTATGCCTTGACTATTATTTCTGTAATAAGGTAATAAAGTAGAAAATAACCTTAACGGTTATGATTGCTCAACTGAACTTGGTCTAGGAAACAGGCTGGTGATAATTGGCCTGGTTGGTATGGTACATCCTAATGTCAGTACGTAATAATAATATTTATTATTTGTTTATGTCATATGATGATAACCATCCCTCGGCAGTAACTACTAACATCCTATGATTTAATTTTGGATTTAAAACAACTGTAAAATAATACTCTTGCAACGAATAGAGAGATTGGTTTTTTTTTTTCATGCTATGATAGCATTTGCCATGAATAATATTCTTGACTTAGGCCTAGGCCTAAAAAGTTCCTCAGTCAGCGGAGACTCCACTGGAGCATAATGCACGTCGTGAAGGTACTGTACCTTTCCTTGAAGAAACTACCAGCCTTTATTCCCATTATCTATTGGAGCCTTACCAAACCAAATGTTTGAAAAATAATTTTGGAACACTTCTAAGTGATTTACCAAATTACAACTTGCATTCCAACCAACATTTGCCACATCTATGATGTGACTTACATCGACAACAAGGCGAAGCCATATTCAATGCACTGTCGTCTCGCGATCTTGATAGATGTAAACAAACCCTAATACCCACTATAAGTCACGTGACCCGAGCCGCCGATTCGGTCTATTGCTTCAGACCATAATTAAAAGCCAGATTAAATATTTAAACATATATTTTACGAAGGTTTAGCAACAGCAATATGTTTTAGTTGTTATCTATTATGCTGCATAGAGAGACCAACAAATTCCTTTAGTGCGTAATTAAAAGCCAGATAAAATCCTTGATCATTATCATACATATGAATATTTTAGCAACAGACATATGTTATAGGGACCCAATTAAAATTTCATTATACCATTTTATTTATTTTTCCCTTTTATTTTTAGGAACAGCAATATGTATTAGCAAAGAGTATAAATAGAACAAGAGAGCAAAGTCCCGTTCGTAAAAACATCACGCCTGTGTAGGACGCCCACTAACGGTTGTATGTTCTTTTTATTACCCAGTGCAGGGCTGCGCAGCGCGGTAGAAGTACGCCCGCTATAAACTCAGTAAGCAGAAAACAAAAGTACAGTATCTTGTGGAGAACAGATAAACAGACAAACCGACCGTGCGCGGTGGATTACTGGGTAATAAAAAACATACAAGCGTTAGTTGGCGTCCTACACTAGCTGCGTAGGGCGTATCGTTTTTTTACGCGCTCAATGAGCGTTGTTGGCTCTCTTGTTCTATTTATACTCTTTGGTATTAGGTTCTATATTATTATGCTGCATCACAGCAAGACCAATCAATTGCTTTTTAGTGCATAATTAGAATAGTTGATAATTAACATACACATGAATGCAACAGAAATATGTTATAGGACCAGCTCAGCCATGGCATGGTTGGGGCTGAGGTAAGAAAATGTGATTATGGCACCTCTAGTTGACCGGAGATGGTAATCTCAGGCCAAAACTTATATTAACTTATTATAATTTTCCTTTTTACTCCATTTAAAAAAAATAATTTTGCAAAATTTAGGGGTGGGTATGAATTTGCTCGGTTCCCCACTTGAATCGACCACTGCTGGGACTTGTTCCAGGTCATGTGTGAAAACTTACTTTCAGTATAAAAATTACAGCAATATTTTTGTATTTTGAATATCAGCTGAAGATCTTACCAAAGACTGTTGGCAAGGTGCCTGGTGTGCATACAAGGCCCCTCTCAAGTTGCTTGGGGTCAAACTGTGTCACACAGATTCCTGCACGGTCACCCTGCATTATGGAGGTAACTGGTTGATGAAACATTTGCATGGATTTCACTTTCTTGGTCACTTTCAAAGCTGGAATTTCCACAGTCTGTGAAATAGACCTTTACAATGTGTTAATCAAAAACAAACTATTTGACCAATCAAAGTAATCATACAGACAGTTTGACTAATCAAAGTAATCATACAGACAGTTTGACCAATCAAAGTAATCATACAGACAGTGAGCAGGTTCTTGAAAAGGCCTGTTAAAATGATGATGTCACCGATACAAATTGGCAATTTTATTTCATTTATTTTATCCATAAAAACTGCATATAAGTGACAAAGACACTTTACTGGAATACTCAAATGCGATCTAGGAAACCTAGATCAACTCTCAGGGAGCTCTCCAAAACACAACGGTCGAAACAAAAATATAAATATAATAAAAGAATACACATCAAGGGCTTATAAAGGTATGACTATATCAAAATCTTTTCCAAACAATAATTTTGCAGTTGTATATTAATAAAAAATTATCTGCATATATCCATAGATATATTTAATGTCATTCTACTTTTCTTTATTTATACTTACATCATTAATTTCCACTCTTCCACTTAACATTGTACCTGTCATAACTGTTCCTTGACCCCGTATACCAAAACAATGATCCAACAAGAACAAGAGAGGGCCTGATGGGTCCCGCAATGGAATATATGTTTGACGCTTCAGTTCCTAAGATAATATAAAAATAATGCTTCAAAAATTTAGACTATTTTTAATAATTAAAGAATATAACCATAATTAATAATGGAATTACTAATTTAAACAATTACTCAAATGTAATTTATAACCTCAATAAGTTTATCAATCCCATCAGGGGTTTCTGATTCTCCAGGAACATCTGGTCTCCCTGAGGCATCTAGGCCATCTGGTCCACCAGGCTTAGCAGCAACAGCTACAACAGGAGATCCAGCAAAACGAGTAGATTCAAGTGTCTTCAACATTCTCTTTGTCATCTGTTAAAATAGTATACATTCTGTAAGAGTTTTGTGTATGACTATTACTAAATGACTCGGAAACTATATTTCAAACTCGAACTCAAATTCTTTATTCCATATTCCAACACCGAGTGCCTACTCCCGCCTCAATGCCATATGAGTAAGGCGTACGCTATAAGCTAAACTGTAAACAAGGTCCCTGGACGGACAACCACATAAACATAACAATGGAATATCACACATTCATTCTAGTAAAAAGTGTATAAAGGTTGCTTCAAATCTTAAGTATTTATGGCAAAGACAAGCCAAACCAGTCACTCGTCGCAAAAATCAATTTTTATTTATTAATACAGTGTTAACAAGTAATTTGAGAGCTATAAAATGGTAAAAGAATCATTCAAATCCAACATCGTTATGACGTTACAAGACTTTAAACTTACAGCTGTTTTAAGAACAATATTTGAGAAATCAGCCTTTAAAGTTTATGATTTCGGGCATTTCTCAGGCAGAAACCATCACCAAATCATTAAAAATTGTTGTTTAAAACTATTTTTTTTCCCACAAATATTTCTAAATAGGCACCACAATTACCTTATCTATCGTTGCTTTCTTCTTCTGTGGAGGTAGTAGATCAATTTTGTTCAAAACAACAACCATTTTCTCACAAGTTATCTCACCGATAATCAAACACTGGAATAATGTTCGAAACAATAATAAAAACAATTGAAAATCAAAAACATGATTGAGGAGTCCTTTGTTTATTGTAATGGCATATAATAAAGAAAACCTGTTATTACAAAGTAAAGTACTACAAGAGCTCCAAGTATTAAGGTCCACACCATCAAATGTTATATGATGTGCCCACCATATAGGCATGATGATGTCATATTACACCCAAATATGGGTGTATCACATTTATTTGTCACATAAAATTCAATAGTATAACAAAGTTTCACAGCGAGTAACAGGTTTATCGCTGAAATCAACACTGTATATTTTTACTTTCCCCAGAAATCAGCAGACTATAGCAATCCCAACTTGTAGAAAAATACAAAAGATGTTTTAAGAAAACTCAGTAAACCAGATCTCCCAGAAGTGGCTTCTCTCACCTTGGAACCATGATGACAAACTATAGAAACATTCCTGGAGGTCGTGGGTTCGATTCCCACCTGAATAACTTGTGAAATTTTTTTTCACAAGCATTTGAGAATGTACTGACCATGCAGTACTTATTATAACATGTGACGTAGGGCAAACATCATTTCGTAACATTTCTCCTGACGGAAATACGCCATCGATATAGAAACATTGTTTTAAAAATTACGGTGCACAGTAAAACAAATGAGAGTAGAAAACCAGACTTCTTTGAATTTAATTTAAAAAAAAAATATAACTAACCTCTGCAGATTGTGTTTGCATTCCCTTAGTTACATCAATGACAAGCATCATCAGATCAATTATTTGAGAACCTTTTAAGAAAAATAGGAAATACTGTATATCACAATAAAAATTGTAGCATGGATATGGATTATGGAGTTTATAGGGAATAAGGTGATTTTTTTTTTTGGCTCTAAGTTTGCAGTAGGGGCACTAAACATTTTCTGACAGAGTGCACCCAACCCTCTCCCCTTGCATACTGCTCCTCTTACATACACTTCTGATACTAAAAAAGTTCAGTTTTCATAATATCACATTTGTGCAATAATATATCAATGACTAACCTCCGATAATAGTCCTGATCAGTGATGCATGTCCAGGGCAATCTACCAACGTGAACTGTAGCTTGTCATACTGACTCTCACTCAAGTGGTCAGGAATTTCCACCGAAAATGAGGAAAATCCTTAAACATCAAAAACAGTAGAGTAATCAATGTGCACATCAATGGCGGTTCCAGGAATTTGAAATAGAGGAGGCCCAAGTAAACACTTTCAATAGTATGAAAAATAGTAAGAAATTTATGACTATAGCACCTGTAGATGGCTGGAAACGGTGCTCTCAGACATATATTTTAATATACAGTAATTCTTTTTTTTTCTCAATCTTTTTATAATTTTTAAAAATTTAGGGGGGGGGGCCCAGGCCGCACCCGCCCCCCTTGGATCCACCACTGCACATACTGATTGGTTGTTTAAGTACAGTATAAAATTTAACTACATTAGGTATGTGGATCCCACAAATGTAAGAATCTACCACAAATGTCAAAATAACTACAAATGACAAAACATTCCATATTAGCTCATAAAAAAAAATATTGTTCCTTGAAGTCAAAAAAAAAAAAGAAAAATAAGCTAAAATGCTTGTAAAATTTCTTGGCCAACACAGTAATTTAATTTTTTTTTGCCTTATATTAGTTATCGAACACACATTTAATCATCAATTAACATTTTCAAAGGATTTAAGTGCTTAGGAAAATTTTTACATTTATGACATTTGAGGTAAAAATGGAAATTTTTACATTTGTGGGTGAAATGTTACTACATTTGTGGGTGACTTTTTTTTACATTTGTGGTTATTTTTTCACATTTATAGTTGACATGTTTTGACATTTGCAGTTATTTTGACATTTGTGGGTGGAATGTTTTGACATTTGTGCTTATTTTAACATTTGTGGTAGATTTTTCCATATGTAGGCAACAATATCCATGAATTTAGCAGAAAAGCAGCAGTGTCTGCCCCTTAGTTTAACCCCTCCGACGGAGGGGTCAAACTAAGGGGCCGACTAGAGCATCGGTTGGAGTCCCAGAATAAAAAATACCCAGATTCACAGGAAGGTTTTTTTATGGCTTAGTATGGTCTAAATTGTGCTTTTAGAAAACAATATTAGGAATTGGCAATCAAAATAATGTTATATGGATAGGCAAATTATTTTTTTTGCTTTTGATCTGTCAACCTTGTCGTGGCTTCAGACAACAGGGCCTGTCTGGTTTGGGTGGGGGGTGGAAGGCCGCTGGCGCAACCACTGCAGGAAAGTCCACATAAAAAAGTCAGAGGCACCTTATAATTTGTCTTGAGTACAAAGTATGAGTTGCTTAAATTACAGGTACAGCATATCAACTGTAAAATTTCAAACAAACAGGAGAGGATGAAGAACTCTGTTTTATTTTTGGCCAATTAGCGCACCTGCCGCCACAAAATGTTTTTGTTTAATTTTTATTACGTCCTCCACTGCCTTGAAACCTCCAAAGATAAAATATGTATATTTCTTCTTAATTATATAAGTTTGAAGCATTTAACCATCCCATTTTACATTCACCAATAAAATTTTATTTTTATTTTCTCCTCGGTCTGGATGTTTTTGGAAAAACTATTTGCTAAATAAGAAAACGAAATTTTATTTTTATTTTTATTCTGCACTCCTCCGATTATCTTTAAAAAAATAAGTATGCAAAACAAGAAATAAAGTAAGTCTTACCTAAAGTACTTACCTAAATCTAAAGTAATGCCACGTTCCTTGCTCTGTGGATTTTTATCAAAACTTGCCGTGGATGCAGTGGTACTTAGTGCCTTAGCTGCATGACATCAAAGAATATGTGACAGTTTAAATTAATCGCATGGAAGTTATCATCATAATTAATATACTGTACATAAAACCAGGGAGTTGTTATAGACTCCATGATAAAACATAATTGCTATTATTGGGCTGGTGCCTAGGCCCTATAGATAATAGTTATCTGCCGCCAGAATTTGCATAATTTATTCAGCAAAAATTTGATGCTGGTTTAACCAGCATATTTTCCTAATTTACTGATTAAAATAAGATCTATTTTTGAGGGACTAATTGAGGGATGAGTCGCCTACGGCTGGGCTTAGCCCTTATGGACGACTTGTTTTTGCTGTGTGTGTACTGTTGTTGCGAGCCCTAATAAGAATAAGCCTAGGCCAACCTCCTTATAGGCCTAGCACAAGCAAATTAACTATATTTTGGTCCAGCTAGGATGTAATTAGCTAACTTGGTTATTCAATACACTATAGCATTAAATTCTAATGATTTACCTAGGGATGTCTTTCCACTATCGATGTGTCCCAAAACTCCGACGTTAAAATTCAGCAGTGTGTTCCGTATCGTGGCGGCTGCCATCTTGAAAAAAAATGTTATTGATTACGCCCTCAAGCGAAATGATAGGATGGGACTTTCCCTTGCCTGCGTAACTAAACACTTGCGTAGCGCGCGGGCAGCATTTTTTTTCCCGTAGGTATTAAGTTCGGTAAAATTTCATTAACTATTCATAACGCTTCCGTATACCATATTTTGCGCATGCGCTACTTTCAAGTCTGTGTCAGCCCATGGCCAGCCTGAAATCGGCTGCTCTATCGCGATAGGACCTAGTTTTCCGCCCTTGTAATGGGTCTTTTATTAATTAAATGAATGCAAAATAAAATAAAAGCAGTGATGGAATTGACTCAGTTGATTCTGAATTTTGACAATGACAATGACAAAAATATTTATTTCCTTTGAGCATGAAAATTTACAAAAAATATAAATGTACAACATTTTTTAATGCTTCGCACCTCGCATTATTCACTCCCCTTTGCTAAATCATAGATCCGCCACTGGATAAGGCGACGATTTATTTATTTTATATGATTCCAGCATTGAGCGAAGCCTTCGCGTTAAACCTTGTCTATCGTAGAGCGGACAGTGGTGCATGACATGTACAGACAATACAAACAATATGCCTTGTATTTTAACCAATGGTGATATAAAGAAAGAAAAAAAAAACAAAAAACAAAAAAAACCAGAAAATAACCAAGAAAAATACAGAAAGTAAACATTAAGGAGCTGAAAAGGTCAATTTTTAGTCTCATTTTGAAAATCTCTACAGATGGAGATTCACAAACAGATGGATCTTGATGTACGTATTCACCCGACAAGAGGTTACAGTAAGAATAGTGTATTGTGTATATCGTTAAACAAGAGCAACCGCTACCGGTCAGCGCGTTCCTCCACGCTTAAATACGGTACAGGCGCAAGTTATTAAATTGGGGTTTTTTGGAAGAGCTAATGAGATAGAAATTTTTAAATAATTAGAATATTCATTTGTACAAAACAAATTATTATTTAGAAAGTTCATTTTTTAAAAATTAAAAATATCTTAAAATTGAAAAAAAAATTCTTAAATTTGAGAAAAAGAAAGTTGAATACGAAGACGCGATTCGAACTGCAACCTTAACTTAAAATAACTCGTTAACCGACCGCGCCATCCCTGCGACGCGCCCTGTTTGTGGTAATGGAGTAATCTACAGTCCTTGCTGAAACCATGTTTTGTTTTGAAGGTGTAGGGGGAACCCTGGGGTCCAACTTAATAAGGCGATCAACGTTTTTTGGGAATCACCTCTAATTTATGTTTACAAAATTTCCTGCACGTCCGTTCAAAACTGGCGACGCTGGACGCTTTTAAAATTCTGGTAACAAGAACAAGAACAGCAGTAAGGCTCTGAGGTCAGCGCCTCTCGCGGACCCCCCAAAAAACCCCCAGAAAATAATTACTGGTAATGAAACTCTCGAGACAAATCAAACAACTGGCCAATCAGAAACACGAACACCACACAAACACGTTTACCAACACGTAGCGAGGTGTTGACGGACCTCAGTGCAAGATAATTGCCGGACCTTAAAACGCATCTAATCGGACACAGAAACAGAGCATAAATGCTCACACATTCTGAGATTTTTTAAAGCATACACTGCATTGCTACTCGCAGAATAACTATACAATGTTCGAAAAAATATTCAAGGATATTGAGAACAAAATGTGGTCATATATTTTATCGTTTACAGCGGCCTATTGTATATTTCGTGAGTCTAATGAAATAAATTGACAACAATAAAACAAAGTTCTTTGTTTTTGTAGGTAACTTTGATCAGTAGGGTAAGGATGCTTTGATCTTTTGTTTATTCATAGCTATGTCACCTACTAGGGGTAATGTTTTGATTGGTCGAACACTTTTGGTACTTGTGCATATAAGCTTGCAAATATGGATAATTTTTCATCCCCGAAGATGACATAATTAATGTCGAAATATCTAATCCCCACACGATGGCTGCATTCGATACTTGGAGCATGATATTATACTATCTTATCTGAGACTAATCAGTGGACCTTTCGAATACTCAGTACGTCCCCAAATACTGGCCAATAACAATTTTTTTTTTAATGGTTCGTGTGGGAATCGAACCCACGTCCTCCAGTTTATCTAGCCAGATACAAACCACTACAAATGCTGAGTTTGCCTCAAGAAATATCATAGAAGTGATTATTTGCCCCTACCTGTCGTGTTATCGTAACAAATACTCAGTACGTCCCCAAATACAGCCAATAATAAAAATTAACAAAAAAGAAAAATGGTTCGTGTGGGAATCGAACCCACGCCCTCCAGGTTATCTACCCGTGGTCGACTAAACGAAGGAATGAAGCACCGCGATCTCTAAGCAATAAAAGCCATGAACCTTTGTATCACACCAAGTACCAGTCAGTCGAGAATACCTTACAACATGATACGAATATATACAGCTGTGGGTCAATATTACGCAAGAATTATGTTATATTATACTATCTTATCTGAGATTAATCAGTGGACCTTTTGGTTTTTGATCAGTAGGGTAAGGATGCTTTGATCTTTAGTTTATTTATAGCTATGTCACCTACTAGGGGTAATGTTTTGATTGGTTGAACACTTTTGGTGCATATAAGCTTGCAAATATGGATAATTTTTCATCCCTGATGATGACATAATTAATGTCGAAATATTGAATAAATAAACAAATCAAACAATAATTGTTTAAAATCACAAATATCTAAACTAGACTTAAATCTTAAACTTAATTACACTAAACACATATGTTTAAGCTTCCGATACACCACGTAGGTACTTCTGAAAAGAACTGTTGTAGTTGAGAACTTTTAAAAGTCTCGACGTTTCGATTGAGTTGCTTCAATCGTCTTCAATAGAAGACAATAACAATAGAAGACAATAACAATAGAACAATCATCGACCCAATTGTAGTGAAGTAAATCTAAAACGTATTCATGCTGAATGATGACCTGACGTGATTTAAAAACGTGCATAATGCAAGTTGAAACAACTCTAAATATCAAACAAAAACGTGCCTGCAAATATTTCAATTGCATTAGAAACGCTTTCAAAAAGTATTCAGGGGCGGATCCAGAAATGTCAAAAAGGGGGGGGGGGGCCGAAATTTGGGCCGATCGAGACAACTCTACTTGCAGTTTGGTGGCACAAAAGGCATAAATTGTAATGAGTATAATCAATACAGCCTCTAGAACCAAATATTATTGAGGCATCCTTTTAAAATGTAAGTAGGAATTTATAGTTACCTTTATAAGCTTGAACGAGGCCCCAATAGCCCCGTGCTTTGCACTGCCCATACCTATGCCACTGATATTTACGCTGTCATTATGTGGGACCTTCAATTTTATATCCATATATGATTTTAACTGAAAATTCAAATCTGATATAGTATATTCTGGTATATTTATTCACATCAAAACATTACTGTAGTAACTAAAGCACAGGTTTTACTGTTTGGTAATTATTACAATACCGTACTCTAGATAGATCCACACAAATACTTGGACAAGAATTACAAGAATTAGACTGTTAGAATGTAACAATTCATACTTTACAGCTTTCTACGTATAGGGCCTATAATTATTAGTTGAATTATCAAGGAGTTTTAGTTATTATTGCTATTGCTTTTCAATCATAGTTCATTCCGTTAAGGCACGGCGGCACAGAAGAATTTTCACTTGTGAATTCATTAATTTTATTCATTATTATTATTAATATTATTATTATTATCAATTATTATTTTTATAGTTATTATTATCATTATCATTATCATTACTGTTTCTTCATTGCAATAATCATCAGGAATGAGGCTGACAGCAGGCAGGCACTGGTCATGTAGAAAGCTTTGTCGTAATTTTCGGTCAAGTCGTAAATCCAACCTGCAAAACATTCAAATGGAAATGTAATTTTAAATACAGAGTGTGGTGGTTGAACGCATGCGGGCTGGGTGAGCAGCCAACATTTTAACCAAAAAAAAAAAACCAAAAAAAAAACCAAACTAGTATACATTGCATTCTATTTTGTATGGAGACATTGCCCTATAACCTCAAAGGAAGAGGTGTACATACTGTTATATATTTTTGAGTTAAGAAAATATCGGAACTATAGTAAACCGTAATCAATTACGTATGTATGCCTATAACAGACCGGCACGGTAGCATTAATCGAGTAGTCGATTGATTAATATTGACATTGATTAGATAACTTGATCGATCGAATGGTTAGAATGTAATCATCGATTTACTAATTAGTCGGCTGGACAATCGATTAAGCAAGAGATACATGTTGATTTTTTTTTTCATATTATATAAGCATCATAATTATTTTGATCATTGATAGAAAGAATAATTTTATTATTGACAGATGGACAAAAAATGTACACACATACATACGACTAAAAATACATAGTCGATACTCTATACTAACTCGTAAACAGGCTACCGGTAAAATCAGCAAGACCATAAGCTACCAGAGACAATCCGAAAGCACTGTTGAATCGTTCCAATCCAACTATGTTTTTCATGATCACTGGAGTTAGCGGTGCTAGAGTTCCTGACGATATTCCAATGAAAATCGAAATAACTTGATTCCACATGTATGATGACACAAATGTCAAAGAAAGCACAAATATTCCGGACGACAACAAACTTAAAAAATACATATGAGTTGCTTTCATAAGCATTTTGTCGACGAAGACTCCGTGGGTGATCCGTGAAAATACACCTCCGATACCCATTAAGGACAATAGAAACCCAGACTGTGTAGACGTGAAGCCAACCCACCCTGACCTTGCTACAAAGTGAACAATTGTCCCCATATATCCTACTGAAAAAACGTACATGATTATAAACATGATAACAAAATCGATACTGAGAAATAGTCGGAGCTCAAATACTTCGGTGATTTTAGATAATCGAGTCCAACATGATACTGATTTGCATACAAACACGTCTGTCCTCTCTTTAGAAATATCTTGGTCAAAAAAATCATCGGATGGTTGATGTTCTACACTAAATTGATCTGGAGAGTTCTCTGAGGAATTAACCGTTTTTACTAACATTTCTAACCTCCCAACATCTTTTTTGGCAACATCTTTTTCGTAGCATTCATCGACAGGTAGATGTGCCATACTAACTTTATCTGGAGGATCTTGTATGCAAATACCCGTTTTTACAAACATACTTGTCCTCCCAACATCTACTTTGTCAACATTTGCTATAATTTCATAGCATTCATCGGCAGGTTGATGTGCCATACAAACTTCATCTGGAGGGCCGTCTCTCCCTTCAACATTTTTTATGGCAACATTTGCTATAATGGCTTCATTTGGAGGATCTTCTGAGCATGTATGTGATTCTATGAACAAGTCTGTTCTCTTTACATCATATTTGGCAACGTTTTTATAAAAAGATTCATTATCGTGTCGTACCACACTGACATCATCTGGATGATCTTCTGGGCAAATACTCGTTTCTACGAACAGCAGTGTCTTCTCAAAATTTTCTTTGGCAACAATTTTTTCATGTTCACCTGTTTGACGATGTGGTATACTAACTTCAAATAGAGGATCATTTGAGCAAACAATTGTTTTTCCGCCCACCAGTTTATATTTGACTGATGATCTACGACTTGTGGTCTGTTGATCGCCGTTCTCCCTTTCCTTAACAACCGTGGTTGTCTGTTGGACACGTCTTCTTATAGGCATGACGAGCGTTCCGGCTACGCATATATGTAAACTTATAGCACCAATTAATCTATAACAAACTCTCCATGTATACATCGATTTCAGATATTCGAACAAGACAGGAAAAGCGAAAATGCCTGCATATACACCAGCAAAAACAAAGCCATTGGCTAACACATATCGTTTATGGAAATAAAACCCCATAATTACTGAACATGGCGTATAAGCAAAACTTAAACCGATTCCTGGAAAAAAAAAACAGATTAATATAAAGCATTGATTGTGATAGGTCTATAAATTAATTAAAATATTTGTTAAAACAAGTTACAAATACCTTACAGTAAGAATAATGTTCTACTAGAGAAGAACTATAAAATTAATTTCTTCCTATTCAATTAATAATTACATCTCTTAGCAACGTTAGAGAATAATAAGTAGGTTATTATCAAATAACTAAATAATAATCAAAGACAAGTTTCTGCATATTTTCACAAGAAAATGTTTATTACTCTAAAATTTTGCAGCGTCTGGGGCTTTAAATAAGTCATAAAACATAGCATACCTGTCAGCGTCGTAGAGCAAAACATCTGAACAAAGCTGGTAGTTACTGAGCTTAAAATAACTGAAAGTGCTGTGATTAAGCCACTTAATATGAAGGTGGCTCGGAAACCAATCTTATTGCAAACATAGCTCGCTACTGGACCTAAAGAAAGAAAATATAAAAAAAGAAAGTAAGCATGTATATAAGATGTGTATAAGAGACAGATATAGTATATTCTGGTATATTTATTCACATCAAAACATTACTGTAGTAACTAAAGCACAGGTTTTACTGTTTGGTAATTATTACAATACCGTACTCTAGATAGTAGTTATTCAGATTAAACAAACACGGCTATGTAGATATAAAACGATGTTACTTTGTTACAGGTGCTTCTTAGACAAAACTGGATATTAGCATGGCATATTATAGAAAACGTACCAAAAAAAAAAAAAAACAGTGAAAAACATGATGCTCAAAGGCTTCCTCCTCTTTTATAGTGACAAGCGTTTTCAATAAAAATACAAGGTGAAAATATTAATAAACTAACATAGATGAAGATTAGTTCAGTAGCCAAGCGGGAAAAGAGAATCACCATATGAAAAATGTTTTGATTCTGTTACCTAAAGCTCGTTTAGTAACGCTATGCTGGCTTAAAGAGGCCCTGTTTCAAAACAATTCAAAATACAGATATAAAATCCTAACTGAAGTGAATAAAAATATGAGAAAATATAAAATATTCCATAGTTAAAATCAAAGAATTATATGCCCCCCTCCCCATCTCCATCAAGTCTTGTATATAGGCTACACGTCAATGTCCATAACCCCTGTGATATTGCATGTCAACTTGTTATGCTGCAATAATTCCAGAAATCAGAAACACAATTCCTTCTTGTAAGTGTTGTGAACGCCAGGCAAGTACCGGCAAACATTCCAGCTTCCCGTGATCCAACATCAAATTCCAATTTTAACTCTTCCAAATATACTGTCAAGCTCAGTGATAGACCCTGCGAGAGCACCATTATCAGGAATGCCGAAAAAAGTACAATCCATGACCAGCCATGGTCTAACCTCATGTCCCTTTTAATTTTATAAGCCATGATGCTTAAATTTCCCCAAATGCTGAATCGTTCATCCAGGCATTTTTCGTTGTGCACTTTATAAAAAATGCTTTCACAGATAAATGGAAATAAAGAACAAGGTATATGAACTGAAGGTCATTGTATTGTTGGGGGAGGATAGGCTTCACTATTCCAGGAGAGGGCGTACTGAAGCGATATAACTGTCTCGTTCTCTCTACAATCCGTCTAACAAAACAAAACAGGTTGTTAGTAGCCCCACCAGTCTAGTATAACATCAATATTTTCCTGAAAGATTTTTTCATCATGAGACCTGACCACCGTTAAGGTTGCGAGTACAGTGAATTTTAGTCAGACTTAGTATCAACACTTAATGTTTCATAACTTACAAACTAGGCACAAAACCCAAATAAAGTATGTATTTTCGGAAAGCTTTTGTTGGGAATCGTAAAATGTATTGGTAAAGATATTTGGCCTTGAAATATGCAAATTAGGTATTTTTTGCTAAATTTAAGAGAAAATTAAGATTTTTATAAAACAAAAAATTGTACTGCTTTAAATTTACATGTCCAATTGGAGATTTTATTTCTGTCTTGTATCATTTAACCATGTCTGAAAAATGCTATGAGGCCATTGTTCAAAATCCCCATGGGATAGGCCTACCACCTCAGCCCCACCATGATTATGGTACCTCTATATTGCCGGAAATCCACTCGCTTTGTTAAATTTTATATATTACTGCACACAGTGATATAAATCGGCACTGAATTCCATGAAAAAATGATGATGAAATAATAAAAACATGCAAATATTATGAATTTCATGAACGTGTCGGTTCAGGAAATGATTAATGTTTGTGGTTTACGTGTGAAGGCAGGGTGTGTTTAATACCGAATAGAAACGGGAGGAAATTTGACACCATCAACATCATTTCCCCCTTTTGTAATAAACAACCTTGAGCTCTGTATTGGACATGCTAATCAGATTTATTATCTTATATGATTTTTATAAAACATTTTTTGATCTAGTAACTAAACTGATGTGGTCTTAAGCTTATTTATACGCTATAATTGCAGACTCTCATAAATGTTGAATAATGAATCACTATATGAGCAGTATGCTACTGGGTCGAATACATAAAACAGTAATAAAGCAAAATAAATTATCAATAACTTAAAATATTTTAAGTACTTAAGGAAGGCAGAATCTATATTACGTCATGAAAGGTTTTCTCTTCGTCTGCGTTATCACAGCGTACAAGTTCCTATTAGATTACTGGTTAAGATGCTTGCCTTCTAATCACAGTTTGATTGGTTCGATTCCTGTCACAGCAGGACTTTTTCTCACGACCAAAAAACAATTCCACTTCCTAAACCTTAGCCTTATAAAGAGACTTGGTTTTATAAAGCATCATTCCATCCTGTAAGTGGCGAAAAATAAGTATGGTGTTACGCCTAACCAAAATATCCAACTTGGTCAGTTACCGTATAATAGGCCTCTGTTGTAGTCAGAGATCAGTAAACACGGTCAGGCCTATGTGTGTAACCTGAGTTATTATTATACTTTCTATTATTTTATTTTATTTATTTTTTTGTGTGTAAAGAATAGACTTATTCGCAGAAAAAAGGTCATCAGATGGATCGTTATCACTGAATGATTGAATGCTGTGATATTTAACCAAAGAATATGATTTAACTCAACAACTGAGTCGTATGCAAAACGCCACCTAGAGCCGGCCCCGCTTCGCAAATTTAATCGGTGACCCAAGTTGGGATTTCCCTCACTAGTCGCGACACATCTAATAATTTGATAGTAAATTGCTTTGCTCGGTGACTTATATAAGGTACTCGACATTAGTAGAGTATTACGGTACTATTTACATCGATTTATGCTTACTATTATCAGGGTTGGATCCATGAATTCGTAATAGAGTGGACCGGGAAGGGACCATTACATATAGAGGGACTACCCACCTCAACCCCACTATGGTTGTGGCTGAGGCAAGACATTTTATGACTATGACAACTCTAGATGTCCGGAAATGCCACTCTCAGACTTATATTTGAATACAATTTTCTTTTTTTCTCAATTATTTTTATTATTATTATTATTTTTTTTTTTTTTTAGAAACATTAAATGGACGGGCCGACGTTCCCGGGCCGGCTTCCTCCTCCTCCTTTTTTATATTTGAGATATGACCCAAAATATCGAAAATATTTGATCAGCTGCAGAAAATATTTTCAATCTTTAAATTAAACTTAACCTTCATGTTAGTCCTGTGGCTTGGCGGGCCATATAGGTCTATTAACCAACCAAAATACATGGGAGAGCGGCTTTTTAGTTTTATTATTTTTTGTTGCATAGGTAGGCCTACCCATTTCAAATTCATTGGAAAATGATATTCTTATAGGTCAAATGACAGTGTTTCTGTTTTACATTTATTATGTCTATACATGTTTTTAAACAGTGGAATGTTAGATATAAGATATTCATTATGTGCATATAATAAAACATTTTTCTATTGAGGGTTCAAATAAAATACTGTTTACAAGTCTTTAGATCTGTGGAAGACTTTACATCAATCGCGTAAATTCGCACATGTGAATTGACAATTTTGGCGATTCATTTTTGGGTCGTGACCCATATTTTGTGAAGGTATCAACAACAAAATCCGTTTTTATTTTCTAAAGCGTCTTTCCTTTATCGTGATGAGGATGATGATGATTTAAGGAAAGATTACCTCTAGATGGCCGGAATGACACTCTAATAATAGTGAAATTCTTTTCATCATCGCATCACCATTGTAGTCAAAATTAAGCACTAACAAATTTCTTATGATCTTTTATTAGCGATTTTCGGCAATCAGAGATCTAAATAACCTGTGTGATGTAATATACTTGGGGCGGATGCAGGATTTGGCGAGTGCTGTGCGCATCCATTTCTTCGAGTACGTTGTGGTCTCTGCAAGTATGTTGTACGTTTCTGGGTGCAGGTTGTTCGTTTATGCGAGTAGGTTGTCCGTTTGTAAATGTATTTTTTGGCGGAGATTGCCTTCCATAAGAGCCTACAATCTGAGGGTGGGAAAATTTTGAGAATATAGACCAGGTGCCCGGAAATTGCACTCTCATACTTTAAAAATCCTACCGATACTTTGTTCATACTGATAATAATAATATAGGGGCCTATCAACAATGCAACAATTATTTTTCTTTAGACAATTTAGGGGGGTGCCTTCGCACCGTATGCATCCCCCTGCATCTGCCCCAGCATAGAAAATAAAAGTAAAAAACTTGTCTTTGATGTATTTACTTTACTTGATCTACTTCAGGGAAGTGAGTCTACACCCATCTCAGTGCCACCATGGTTGGGCTGAGGTGCGAAATTTGGGGAAATAATACCCGGCATGGCCGGAAATGGCACTCTTACGTAGTGAAATTCGTCATCATCACATCACCATTATAATCAAAATGAAGTGCCAAAAAATTTCTCATATTTACAGCATTTTCGGCTATCATAGAGATCTAATTAATCTGTATTGTACCATAGAAAATAAAACTTAATTGTTTTTTATGTATTTACTTTACTTTACCTACTTCGTGTACCGAAAATCTTATACTTTTTCTCAAACTTCTCAAATTATAACAAAAGTACGCTCATTCGAGTTGAGTATCATAGGTAATTCAGACGTTAGTGATACCGGTATCTTGCAACCATATAAGGTGTACTGTACTGTACTCAGATCTGCGCCCATAGATCAAGGACTGATAACTGTACAAGTCCTTGCATAGATTGTCATTAATTCAGACAACGTTTCAACTCACCGTTGTGTATTACAGTACCGTATGTCGTGAAACGATAGCTACCTGGGACTAGATGAGTCGCTATAAGTCCTTGGCGATTTTTTGCCAAATTTTGTACCTAGTCGTTTTTCTGTTGATTAGATTATGGTACCCAAAGATATAGAAATAGCGATTATGTTTGAATTAACCTTGTTCAACATCATTTTCTCAGCATTTAAATGTTGTAAATTACAGTATGCTTTAATTAGACGCATAGGCATATAATTAATCGGTACCGGTACTGTATCATCAACAAATTAACAACAAAGCTTCTTTTTTTTTTTTTCTTTTTAAGGAACTTCTTTTTTTTTTTTTTTTTTTTTTTTTTTAAGGAACTTCAGGACAAACGTTAAATATAAAACTTCGGCCCAATAAAGGTATGGAGAAGAGGAAGAATTTTTTTTTAAATCTTGGGCCTAAAGTAGGCCTATACCTCTATTGATGTGGTTTGCGACGTGTTTCTAGATATAACTACAGTAAAAACTCTAATTGAAGCCCTGGACCTATAAAGCAATAAATAGGGCCACTGTAACATCAATCTGTATCATGGAGTGTATTAACAAGCATTAAATCACCTTGTAAACTAGTGTACTGTATAAATAAACCAAGCGTGTTTTTATTTCCAGGCCCGTACTGGGGGGAGGGGGTAATAACATAGCCCTCGAGGTCAAGTGGGCGGAGCCCGGCCCCCTCCCGCGCTCAGATATTCTGAGGTCTTAATAGATTTTGAAGATGCAATATGAACTGAGTATTAAACGTTTTTATTCGGTGGCAGTCCATAAAATGAGGGATTGAGGGTTGGAAACTGTTGTGGTTGGTCAAGAGGAGTTTTGGTGGATGGATTTCTAGAACGTGTGAGAAGTGTGTCTTTAATTTTGTGGGCTTCTTTTTGAGGCTAATTTTGCAAAATGAAGAAGTAGGCTTTAATTCGAGATGGGCTTCTTCTTGAGATTAAGCCCATTGGGCTTCAATTCCGGGTTTTACGTATTTTACTACCTGTATACTTATGATGTCACTTGTGCGGTAACTTAAGAATAAAAAAGAGAATGAATTGCCGTTGGAATGCATAGGAAGAAATAAATGGATTATAATGCTTACAAAGTAGAAGATACTTAGGCTGATTGAATCGTTGTAAATTGGCTTAGGTGTCTGACGTCCATCTCTCATTTAGGGCGTTTCTGAACAAAAAGACGACAAGCCTAACTGTTACTTTGTTTCCAAATTATTATGGAATACGTGTCGGTAAAGCGTAGAGGTCTTTTAGCTAATTACTCTTTAAATTTAACAAAAGACGGTATCATCTCTTATGCGCAGCTATTGATGTTTAGCTAGGCCAATTAAAGGAGATGATTGCCTTTTGCCTGCTATTGTAGCTCCGTGCCGAGGCATTGTTTCTGATCCGAAATATACAAATTAATACGAAAGTGGCTTAGAATGCCATTGGCCTTATCCAATTACATAGGTATAATTGTCTATTGTTTTACACTTCCCCGAGGAATTGTTTTCTTTAGGTAATGAATAAGGTATCACTCAGTGGATGCTTGATAACTTGTTATTTTGAAGTAACCGACAATGTCACGGTCAGTTGACCAAGTGGACCAAGTTTCGCTAACTTACTCTTACTTCTTTCTCAGCAGGCCTATAACAGGAAAGGACAAAACATTTCTCAACGTTCGTCGTCCCCAAAATAATTACCTACAGTCCAACCA